TGGCATTTTTTCAAATGACATACATTGTTTGTCATTTCAATGCCTAGTGGAAAGTCGGCATAACAGTACTAATTTTCTTGTTCAATAAATGAAATGAATTGAAGTTATTTCCTTTGAGCGAAACAATGAAACTTAAATATTAATTATTATTTTCAATCTTTATTGATTAAACTCGAAAAATGAAAATCATTGTAAATTACAGTAGGACGCGTAGGAAAACAGGTACGTGAGCATAGTTAAAACTTAATAATTTTTTTTGCCTAAAATTAAAAAAAAAAATTATGATTATTTTCCGTCCCTGATATTCAGCAATTCAGTATGTCTATTTAAAATAAACCGGTTTTTTTCTTAATTGAAAATGGGGAACCTATTTTCTCGAATTGCCATTTTTCGATTAACACTCGAAAGTCGGGTTTCGATAAAAGGCGAATGAATAGCCGTACACCCTAAAGCTACTTAACGTAATTAAGGGTGTCACAGTTGTGATGTGTTAATGTGTAATTTGTTTGTACATTGCAAGTTGCAGGGATATACATATATATATATGTAAAAATGATGAATAAGCAGGCGAGATTAAGTGCTGCGCCGCGGCCGACGGCTGTCGGTTACCAGCAATAAATATAAAAAAAAGCGGATTCCTATTCAATGAATTGTGCTTGCTTGCTGGCAGACTTCTTATTCAGTGGTTTAACATTATTTTAGTTGACTAACTCGGTTTGACTTCAAAATGGCTAATAGCCTGACTGCAGGCCAAGCAGACAGGTTTTACTACGGCTTCGGCTTTTGTCGAGGGCGTTAGACCGTTAGTTACCGAGTTTGGTTGCATTTTCTGTGAACGCAGTACAAAACTTAAATTCCTTAAAGAAGTATCACAACACTTCTCAAATGGTAGCATGGATATCGCTCATTTGCTGCAAAAGTGTTGTAATTAAAAAAAAAAAAAAAAAAAAAAATGTTAAGTATGCAGATTGACCACCACAAGGTAGGGGAAAGAACGCTTTTATCCAAATGAGCGATATCTTGTTTGAAACATAGATGAGGATAAGATAAATCCTAAATTTTAAGAAACAGCATTAAGTACAAAATATTCTGGAGCTCGCAGTAGGGGTTCATTCTTTAACAAAACCCGGGTACATCCATGTTTCCAACTTTGTGCAATATAAAAAAAATGCAACAAACTTTCGAGCTTTTCGAAAAATTCTAAAAAATCAACCATAATTTTTAGTCATTTGAAACTTGTATTTTTTTGTCTATTAGAATGCAATGGGCTACAACACTACATACTCAGTATCTAATTAAAAACTCGAAATTTTTACGAAAATTTTTTGATTTTTTTTTTTTTGAAATTGCATAAATTTTTAAGGCAGTGTCACTCGATTGGTACATTTGTACAGATATGTGCATTTTTATATTGGGCTATTGGTACAAAATAAGAAAAATTGGAAAAATGGTTTTTTGTTATCAAAACATTGGTACTATACAGCAACCCTGCAAACCAAAGTTCCCGAAATCCTAACGAAATCTTTAGGAGTATCTCATTTCTGTAACGATTTTTTTACGAATTTTCAAAGAAAATTATATGAAGGGGTTGACACGAACTCGTAAAGAAATTTCTGTATGAAAAATAAAGAAAATTCTGGAAAAATTCTGGAAGATATTCTTCACATAGCAGCAATATTTTCGTTGCTTCACAGATTTTCTTCCGAAATTTCGTAAAAGAATGGAAGTGTGCGTAATTTATTTCATTTTAGAAAATTCGGCAAAAAATCGAATTAAATCTTAACGAATTCTTTAAAATTTCTTTACAATGCAGAATACTCTGAAAAAATGGTTTGCAGGGAATCTTCTATTGAAAATTTTCAGCAAATTACTTTTCGTGATTGTGATAAAGAAAAATGTTTGGGTATTCGCACAATTGGGATACGATTTGCACTAAATTCCGGCAAA